CAGTATTACCTCTTCTTTCCCCCCCTCCCCTATCCCCCCCCCCCTTTCCTTTATGTTTCTTTCTTCCTGTTTGTCCTGTACTCCTGGACTTACCCACTTACCCTTATCTGATTTGGTGAGCTCTGTCAGAGAGGGGATTACCCCTCACTTTGGAGAGATTTATTCTCGCTTCCTGTTGTATATCTAGAACAGGAAGTGAAGGAAGGTCTCCCTAATAGGGCACAGATAGTTTAAAAAAAAAAAAGAACAACCTGGGTTTTACCATACCCTACTCTATCCAAAACTTTAAAAAAAAGGTTGGATTTAGATACACTTTAAATCAGCCTTTCTCGACCAAGGTGTCATTGCACATTGGTGTGCCTTCTGGCCTCCTCCGGGGTGCTTCAAAATTTTGTGGTAGTGGTACTGTGATGTGAAGGTGGAATCCAGACTGAGGTCAAGGGGGCTCCTGATGTAAAGGGGGAACACTGATTTGAAAGAGGGGCTTCTGATGTGAAATGGGAGCTCCTGATGTAAAGGGGGGGGGGGGGCTACTGATGCAAAGGGTAACTCTGATGTGGAGGGGGGAGAAATCTTGACTTGAAGGGAGGCACTTAGATGTGAAAGGGGGAAACCCACTTTATTGTGTGTTCTTGCATGAGGTCCCCCTTAAAATCTATGAAATTTTAGATTTGGGTACCTTGAGATTTTGCATACTTTTAAAGGGTGCCATAACAAAAGAAACACTGCTATAAATCACACTGGGTTGGGGCCATTATGAATGGAGACACACTGTAAATCAAAGTATGTGGTGCTATATAAATACAGGCAAAGAATAAAAGAAAATGAAATAGTTCCCAGAAAATGACTGTCTAATACCAGCGTGCAGTTGCAGGCAGTATTTAGGTTTAGCAGGGAGTGTGGATTCTTCATCTTTAGTTAGAAGGATGCAATTTCCACATGAGACAAAATGGCACAATTGGAATATGGAGATGAGTGTGAATGTGATGGTAATGGTAAAAGCAGCAAATAAAAGACTCTACCATTACCCAGTGGTCATCACTGAGCATATGCTCATTGCTGACACACGAACAGTATGAGCTCACACCGGGGTGCACGGCAGAAGCTTCATTCTCACAAATGCAGTCGCCTGGGAAAGGCTCCTCTAGACACATTTTTTTCCCCTGAAAGGAGCCTGCCGGTATAAAATCGACATGCAGTTCACACAATGCATACTGCGCTACAGGTTTTCTAGACCACCTCTGCTTGGTAAGCTCCCTCTCCCACTTAAGAGTGAGTTCTTTCACATGTTTTTCAGGCTTTAGTGTTCTTGCTTAAGCCAATGGAGAGTTAGTTACTAGGAGGGAGAGATAGATGTTAGGCACTAAATTGCACGACTAATGCGAGTTACGTGTGTTTCTAAAGTGCTCCCATTGAAGTCTATAGAGCCAAAAATGTGCAACTATGCCAGAAAAAAAGCTTGTGTATTTTTGTAGTGACAACCAAGACACCGCTCAGCTGTGAACGTGCACCATTGAAAATAATGGGATTCAACTTCATGTTGAGTGTTGTGCTTTAAACTACTCAGGGGAGCTAAGTGGCTTAAAATTTCCGCATGCTATACGTAAATCGCCCATATTTGCTGCAGTGTCAAATGTGCCTCATCCGTATCTTTTTCCAGGGGTTCAGTGCAGCGGAGCCCAGGATTGAAGGTGAGGGTGTAGGGGGGGCCCTGCGGGAGGGGCGTGCGCAGGGCAGCACGTACATGTGATCGGACGGATATAGAGCCACCGATCGCTTGTATGTGAAACAGCTGGTAACGGCTGTTTGCATTGGACAGTTTTTTTCTGCCCGTGCGCGCAGAAAAAAAAAGTGAGAGCTTGCTGTCCGTTCATTTTTTTACAACGAGCGGATGGCAAGCAGTTAAAATAACAACAAACACACCATTAGAAATGTTTAGTAATGACAATCTACAAACACATACTTCTAGATAATTGCCGGTTTTGTATTCTTTGCACACCTTGTTTCTCTTTTCTTTCCCAGTCTTCTTACAGTGACCATGTTTACTAAGGGCAGATTACAAGCTCTCCTATTAGTTCCTGGATTTTTGTCACATGTGACTAGACATGTGACCATGCACATCATCTCAGGGGAGGAAAATGCCTTTCCCTGAGATCTCATGAGATTACAGATGAGATTTCCCAGCAATGCTGATGACAAGACAATCCCAGTGTGCATTGCTTTGCCAAACTGAAATCATTTTGCCCTTTCAAAGCAGGAAGTAAATACTCTGCAAGTGTAAGTATTTCAAAATCACAGCATTTTACACCTGACATGTCTATGTTATTATTAATAATCATCACACATAGAGGGATGCATTGGTAGAATTAGATTTTCTAAATGAAGAGGTCCACTTTAAGTTAGCCAAAAATCACTTAAACTGTAAACTTTCTGCTATAAACAATATTTTAATTTGTATTCCAGTTTATTTGCTTTCCTTTCACAGGGACTGATGCAAAAAGGAAAAAAATAACTTGACAAATCATTTTTTTAAATGCAGACATAACTTTTTAATTACAGTAGTAAGAATATGGACATAGCAAATGTGTAACAAAAATAATTAAATAAAACACACAGAAGTGCACTATGGAGCACAGGTAGACTGCAGTACTGTTGTAAGATGGACAAGATGAAATAAATTACAGGGAATCTGCACTAGGAGACATTTGTATGCTGCCATGGATGACCTGGCACTTACCAAGAACAAGCAAGTAGCAAGTGATCTCTGGGCACCTGTTCTGCATACTTGTTCTGAGTATTGCAGTTATGGATCTGCAAGACAGCCCGGCAACTAGCATTTTCATAAGAAGAGATCAGCAAAGGTAGCCTCTATATTTCTCTGCATACAAGTTTTGTTTAAACTTCACATGCCATGAGAGAACCATGGAAACCGCAATAGTTGACCTCCTAATAAAAATGCCAGTTGCCTGGTTGTGTCTGATATCAATAGCCAAAGACCCAGCAAAAGCATGCAGCAAATAAAAGAGAGAGATTGAATTATTCATTGGGAGGGGGGGATTAACTCTGGCCCTCCAGATGTGCTTTAACTACAAATGCCTACATGTCTCTGGGAGTCGTGCCTGTAACTGTCAGTCTTGTAATGCCTCATGGGACTTGTAGTTCCACAATAGCTGGAGGGACCGAGTTGCCCACACCTGTTAAAAACTGTACCGATTAATAGTGGACAATGTCTTAAATGACCTAGCTGGCTGGCTAGCTTTAGACTATCTTTGTTTGTGTTTTAGCGCAGTGCGTTAAATCTTTGGTACAGTTTCCAACAAAGAACATCTTCCATAGGGATGAATGGTAAAACATTCACAACCGCGCCTCGTGAAAAACCACACAGACACGAATGTAACTGCATTGTTTGCATAAATGTTATTGTCTAATATAATTTTTTTCAATGTTTACACAAGACATACAGGCAATATTTTAGGCGATATTTCAGTGTAATAAGCTATGCAAGAGATGGTAGCATTCACTCAACTGTGCATGAGAAAGCCAAGTAGCACTGGATGACCGATAATGACTGGCGCTAGCTCATAAGACTGAGTGGAGCCAATCAGGATCATCGGTGGCACATTGCAAACACAGTGGGGGACATGCACAGGCATAAAAGGGTGTAAAAAGTTATAAAGACAATTGTGACACTACAGTAATTGCACCTGTTAGATAACTTCCTCCGGTGGCTTTGAAAAGAACAAAAAGGCTGCGATTAATTGCATTACAAGGTCAGTTCTAGTACAAAAATCCAGTAAAACACAAAGTGATCCTAAAATGGCTGCTAGACAAGACAATTTTCTCTGCAGTAAGACGCAAGATCAGATATATGTCACTCAAACAATCATCTATCACTTGACATAAACAGCAATCTTTTCTGCTGAAAAGAAGGACATTTTGTCACAGGGCAGATATCAGATCGCATCTTGTTTTTTACTGTATATTTACTAGCTAACAACCTTCAAGTGAAGGAATCTGTTTGGCAAGTCAGCAAAGTGTTGTCTATACATAGCCTCAGTCACCCGTATCTCCAAGTACAGAGAATTTCCAGGGGCTGGTATTTTTTTCCAAGATCTTTTGACACATGTTTGACGTTTGGATAGCTTTACATGTCATTTTAATGTGACACTACATTCAGGAATAAAATCTTAAAAATGCCTTCAAGTATCTGAACTATTAACAATACTGGATCTGATTTGTGTATCACTCGGCTGTGGATCTTCATCTCTGAATTGGTGCTTACACTGCCCTTCCTTCTGGAGGGTGGCTACTTTGTTCCCCATGGTCCCTGTGTGTGATGTAAAGTAGTCACCGCTCCAAGTTCACTCCTGTGATGGACTACAATCTCAATACAAATTAGTAAACTAAACATGAGATTGTAGTCCATCACAGGAGTGAACTTGGAGCGATGGCTACTTTACATCACACACAGGGATCATGGAGAACAAAAGTAGCCACCTCCAGAAGGAAGGACAGTGTCAGCACCAATTCAGAGATGATTTGAGGATCTACAACTGAGTCATACTAAAAATAGGATACATTTAGGGTACTTGAATGCTTTTTAATATTTAACTTCTGGGTTTAGCGTCACTTTAAATGAAGGTGTCCACACACACAAATGACATCCAATGGGTAAGGTCTCCACTAGTTTCCATCACAACTGGGCAAAGTAAGGCTATCGTAATGAAGCACTGTAGAGGTTTTGAAGTCTTTTTTTATCACATTTGTTAAAATGGTCAGTCGACTTTAAACTGATAGTCCAACATTGGATCCAATTTAAAGAAATCCTTGATGCTGATCAACTCATAAAGGGTACGTACAACGCAGACACAGTAATGCTGGCTGTACATGCTAAGAATCTATTGGGACTTAACAAAATTAATCCCGATCAAAACGTGTATCTGATTGGATGCAAGCACGGTTCGGCCATTAAATTTCCGCACTGGCCTCATTGACGAAAGTCGAAATTGTCGAGCGGCAGAAGGGTACT